GTGAAAAATAAGACTCCACCCGTTTGTCAGTGTTATCGAGTCAGGCCTTGCTTTCTTCTTGGCCCAGGCTCCTGTGTGGCTGACAAAGTTGCTCCACACCCACGCTGATACAAAACTCTTAAACTTATTTATGTATTTTTAGCAGAGGAAGCAATTAACTCGTTAGTATGGCTCTTTGTAGTGGTTTGTAACCAGTGAAGCAAAGATGTCATTGTTACCGGTCCTTAATTACCTGAAGGTCTGTAGAGAAGTTTATCCAGAGCGAACCTTCCCCTCCTCACTTCAGCCTCGGGGTGAATTAATTCAACTATACACAAAGCACCCCAAGAACAGAATTACCCAGCTTCCAGGGCATAGCCACGCTTATTGAAATGGGAAACGCAAAACATTTTTGTCTTCTCCCTCCTTCTCCCAGGTGAGACATGCTGCTCCTGGCCAGGGGCTGCCACGTCCCCCCACAGCAGGCTCCTGGATTTTTGGGAATGTTCTCCGCAGTGTCCAGGTTTTCCTGGCCAGCGTCTCCTGCTCCGAGCAATCCTGGATCCTGCTGCATTCCTTCGTGTCCCCGAGTGCTGCCCGTGGTGACAGAGCAGCAGGTGATGAAGAAATGGCTCTGGGAGGTGCAGGGCTGGTGTTTGCATTCCCGCTCTGGCCACACACTTCTCCTGGAAACCGCCTTTCATCCCTTTTCCATTCCCATTTTATATTCCCACCTAAGCTGCGGGTTTTTAGCGATGCGTTTCTCCTCTCGGAGCTGAAGTAGCAGAGGAAATTACAGCACCAGTTTTACAGATAACAAAGAGATTCCCCCTCCTCCCTGGCAGCCTCTCTGTAACCAGAACAAACAGAAATTCTCCTTTAATCCAGCACCGGCCAAGTGTCACTCTGCAGTGGGGAAGTCAAGTTCCTTTTCAGGTTCTCCTGATCAAAATTCTCTTGTTCCCAGGAAATAGAAAATTAAATTGGGCACCTGTGGAAACGGAGGTGGAATTTCACCTCTCCTCCCTTTGCAAAAGTCTCAGCTCTGTCCCCCTTGGTGGCTGGGAGAAAGGACAATTGTCACTCCTTCGCGCCTGGGCCACGATTCTGTGATAAATAAACAATTCCAGGTGCTTGAACCTCGGGTGTTGAGATGGGGATTTAGGCGTGTGTGAAGCGAGAGCTCCGAATTCCCGGCTCCAGGGACAATTCCCACCTGGCTGGCAGCAGGCGGGTGGCATTTCCCTGTGCCAAGGGACGCCACACGCTGCCGTACCCCCAGGTCTGGAGGTGTCACCCTCTCACTTTGATTTCCACGGGAAGCTGATTAAACCCACGGCTCTGACAGGAGCTGCGTGCAGGAATTTTAACTAGCTGCTGCTTTTTAATATTCACTTCCTCTTCGCGTTTAATTATTTTGTTCCTGCGTTTTCCCTTTCAATTTACTAAAACTCCAGAAATGTAATTAGGGAGAGGCTGAGCTGCGGAGAGCTGCCAGCGTTTCTCCGCCGTGATTAAACGGAGCAGCCCTGCCTCCAGCGCGGGGCTGCAGGACAGGATTCCAACCATTATCCCCTTATCCAGGCAGGATCTGCGGCACGTCGGGATCGGAGTTATTGAAAACGCAGCACTAATTAAACTCCCCTATCAGGAGAGGATGAAAACGCAGTTATTTCATTATTTCCTGGATTTGCCTGCTCTGTTACGAACCCAAACAAACCCGCTGCAGAACAAAGCCCGCCTCAATCACGGGGGAGATTTAATGAGGCTTTAATTTGTGCAGCGCTCACGGAAGCGGTGCGAGGTGCTGCTGCCCTCCGCCCGTGCCAGGGGCACCTGTGGAGCCCATTTCCCATCTGGAGGGCACCGGGAGCGCGGTGCCACAGATTGCCACGGAGCCGCTGCCTTTGTGCTCGGCTTCGCTCATTGAATAACGCGGATCCCGCAGCCTGCCATGTGAAATGGTCATTTTTTGCTTACAGCCAATTAAGGATCCGTTCTCCCCCGCTGCTGCCGGGGTGTTTCCATCCCTCGCAGATCTCCTGCTCCCCCCAGCCCCTCTGGAGGTTTTTCTCCTGTCACAGCAGCCCCGGCTCTGTCACCTCAGCGTGCCCCAGGGGATGCTCGGGGGCTGGGGACGGGCAGAGCTGCTGGATCCTGCAACCCCCGAGCCGTGGAAGGCTGAGCATCCTCCCGGGAAGGGGAATGGGGAGCCTGGGGTTTTGTTTTGTATTTTTTTTTTTTTGTTTTTAATTTGTGTTTGAATTTGCAGCCCTCCTCCTCCGGGTGGGATTCACGGTGGAACAGCAAAAGCTGAGCCCTGCAGTGCCAGCTTCCCTTCCCCGTGAATTAACGGGGCAGGAGGGGAGGGGAAAAATCCCCACCTTCAGCAGCTCCTCCGGTGGAGAGTGGTTAAGCAGTTATTTTCCTGTGTAAATAAAATATCAGTGCCTCTTACAGAAATACATCAAATATTGATGTCTTTTATATTCGTGCAGAAAAGAGTGGGGGAATTGGTTCCTTCCAGATCCGAGGCAGAAATCCAGAGGGTTGCAGGATTTTCCTTCCCTGGGAGGGGCTGGAACGGAATTCCCAGAGCAGCTGTGGCTGCCCCTGGATCCTTGGGAATGTCCCAGGCCAGGCTGGGCAGGGGATGGAGCCACCTGGGACGGTGGGAGGGGTCCCTGGGTGGAACTGGATGAGCTTTGAGCTCCTTCCAACCCAAACCCACTCTGGAATTGTGTGATGGAGGCACGCAGATCCAGCACATCCCTAAATTCAGTGCAAACCCACAGGGCCCAGCCCTTCCATGAGGGAATTCCTGCTGCTGTGCAGGGTCAGGCCCCTCTAAACCACTCCCAGCTCCCTGCTCTGAACGTTTCCCACCCAAGTTTCCTCCCCTGACTCCCAAACACCTCCAGAAACCTTCCCTCAGTCCCTGCTGCTATGATTAAAAGCCGCTTTTGTTTGGGAGAAAACAAACACCGCTTAAAACAAACCCTGCCCTGGAGGTTTCAATCGCGGGGAATCTGCTGGGTTGCTATTTTTACCTGGATTGGAGAGGCATCAAAGCTGGTTTTGGAGCAGAGGAGGAACTCAGCCCTTAAATTGACAGCGGCGAGCGAGCAGCTCCCCCAGCCCTGAGCGGGCTCTGCTGCTCGTTAGCAGCGGCTCCTGATGAGGCTGCTCTTGTTTTCCAGGCTGCTTTTGATCCCGCACTCATTAAAACCTCATCCTGCTGCGGAATTGTTTCCCTCTCCCCAAAGCTCGGCACCTGCGGGTGGGGGGGCCCAGAGCGTTGTCCCCAAAGCCCCCCAAATCCATCCCGAGGCAGCTTTTCCCCTCGTCCTCGGGGAGCACAGCCCAGCTCCCTCCCAGCCCAAACCGTTCCTGGATTTTGTTTTCCCAGCCACGCTCACAGCAAAACAAATGAACAAATGAGGGGTGAATTGCCTTGGAATATTCAGGGTTTGGGGTATTTGGAGCAGAGTTTTCTGCTGGCCTCTGCTCCTGCCCCGGGGCTGCCTCCAGGTCCCTCCTGGGGG